AACACTTACAGTGTTAGGAGTAATACAAGACTGCCTAAAATTAATGGTATTTTAACTAAAATCAGTTTCACGAACAACATAATATTTAATCTGTGAAACAGCTTTAAGGAGCATTATTTTGTATATGGGCATAAATAAATACAAAACACATCAACTATATTGCCATAAGATAAGGATAACCCTGTTAAAACTTCTCTATATATACAAACATATTTAAATATATGAGCTAAGCAATCATTAAAGGGCGTGCCAACTGTTCACTCTTAACATTTAAGTGCAAATTGGTGAAAATGCACACAAATGTCTCAGCAAGTGCTAAACAACAACAAAAGCTAATGATGGCAAGCTTTCCCGTAAATTAACTCCCCCTGGAGATTCTCGAAGCTACAGCCAAATCAAGATCCGGTTCAGCAAGTTTATCGCAAGCTAGTTACACTACCAATACAATTAATTGTATGTACGCTTGTGTTAGTGCATCACTCACCTGTGTAAACGTTCCGTCTGCTCGGCTTCACTGTGCAACTCGTTGATGGTAAAGAGCTCAATCTCTCCGCTGCGACCAAAGATACCATTTGGAATCTTGCGCAGAAATTTCTTTAAAACACTGGCAATGGTAAACACCGAATAGTTGTCTACATTGACCAGTCGACCCGCCTGGAGGAAGTGGATGAGCTTCTTCATGGCCCCCTGATGACCGGGAGCCCTAAATACGTCACGGCGGTTCGGCGACTCTTTATTGAGCTTCAATATGAGCACGAGAAGTGGGGCTGGAATGCTGTTGTTATGTTTACAAACCTCCTCCAGGGATACCCCGAATTTTACTTTCTCCAGGCGATAAGGATAAGCGGGAGCAGTAGCCGGATGGCCGCAAGAGGTCACCGCGTTGCCAAGATCGGCGGCGCGTCGGTGAACGCGTTCAGCCCAGCTGGACATGATTCGTCGTGCTAAGTTACAACCGTGGGTTGTTACTGTATGTGTATATGTGCGCGTATGCGTGAGAAGGTTTTACAAGAAAAATGTGGGTTTTTTTTTCACACAGCTTTGATGAGATGTTATGGTTTTATGCTAGCACAAAACATATTCACTTAGCTGGAATGATGGTTGTTTTTTTAGTTAAAATAGGATTTTCCCACAAGGGCAGCTCTCTCGAAAATGCTAATACAGGCATTTATCAACAAAAAGCAGCTTCTTTTGCCTTTGTTACTGATTTTAATATTGTTGTTGTAGCTACTGCTACTCCTTGGGCGTTGTTTGAATATTATTAAATGTATTTTTTACACAATTTTAATATGTGGAACGATATCTAGAAAGCTGTATAGTACACAAACACACAGAAGTATCAGTTGCTTTGATTAGAAACTTGATTCCTTTTTTTTCGCGCTTGCCACTCCTTTATGCACTGTTTTTGCTGCTTCACTTAAGCCTGGGTGTGAACGACTCAGAACTTTGGATAAACATTAATAGGCGCTCACATATTCTATTTTATCACTGAGCATATTTTAATAACTTCATTTAATATTAAATTGTTTTGTTAGTTTTCAATTAAATTTCTAAAAATGTATTCGACTTTCTCGTACCCACTTCAGTGTGACCACACGCTATTCACTCCTGCGCTCTTTTTCACTCTTCTGAATTTGAAGGTGTATTTGCTATTGAGGTGGTGTCTTCTCTGGTCTATTTCGAGGAACATTAGTATGCACGCATGAAAAATGTACTGATTTATTACTTAGCGAAAATACTTGTTGTCTGTCAGCTAAAACAAAGTGAAGAATGTAAAACGTTTACTATTTATCTCTAGCGCTTGTCCCCCTGAAAACCGAGACAGTAGAAAAATTGTAGAGACTGCATCATCTTATTAGTAAACTCACCTTGAGCCTTCAGTGTGACCACCGCGTTAACAATCCAATATACCGCCCGACCCACCGAAATATACAAACAAATTCCCTCTCACCAATTCATATAAGTGTGTTTCCTTTAAAGCCTAGTACTTAAATCGAAAAAATGGGGCCTCTAACAAAATTAGGGATGATATTCATATGGAACCGAAGCGGCTGTACGCCAGGCAGTACTCAGATCGACAAGAAAACAGGCCGAAATAATATAGAAAGTCAGACGATAGCATTTTGTGGTGTCGATAGTATTTGTGTGGTAGTATTTGTGTGGTAGTATTTGTGTGGTATTCGATGGTATGTTGCTAGCAGCTCGAAAAATAAAGATCTGTTTTAATTTCCGAGAGGGTACCTAGCAAACAGAGAGTATAGTCACTAACCAAATAGTATACTATACATTTTATACTATACTATACTAGTTGGTTAGTGGTATAGTCTCAATTAAATGGAGGCAACAATGCCACTGAAGCTGAAAGATAAATAAACGTCAAAAAAGACGAAATTATTATAGATTAATGAGATTATATTGAATTTATTTGCACTTTTAGTTTGTCTAACTTATTTGAACGCCAGTTGCTTGAGTTTGTCAAGACGCAGACCCGGCTGGGCTGTTAACAAACTGTTTTAAGTTGTTCTCCTTTTGGGACCAAGTACTGCTCCACAGGGTCGTGCCACTAACCAAATGGTATAGTATTTAGTATACTATTAGTATACAATAGTATACCATTTGGTTAGTGGTCGTGCCAAGGGGCGATGGTGACAATCTGGGCTCGAAACTATCCAAAGAAGAATAGGAAGGGCGCAATTATTTCTTGGCACGGCCTTGCTGCTCCACCAATCAAAGAAATCTGCAGATGTTATTCCCAGCCACATGCAAATTCTCTGTCATATTTTCAAACTGCGGAATGTGCAAAGGGGTTTCATGGGTTTCCATAAATGTACACATATTTATATGATTTATAATACTCAAATGTATAGACAACGACCGTCCGGGTTTCTTTCCTGCAGATATGGGTTTAATCAAAGTTGTCGTCGCTTATTTCGTTGATTGTCCTCAGCCTCCGATCATTCAAGAGCCGCCAGTCTCACTAAAATAATCTTCTGCATGGATCCATTTTGCATTCATTGTTTTATTAACCTTTTGTTCAATTTTCACACATGTTCAAAAAGGTAAACAAAAGGTGTCTGTGAAGTGTAACCGTACGGAATGCGGTTTTCACCTCTGGTCACACTCTGCTGCTAGCAAAATATATTGCACATTTTGCTAGCCAGTTTTTTTTTCGATCTGAGTTTAAAAATCTGGCTTAAAAAAAAAACCGAGTTTATTTCGTATCGTTTTTATGGGAAAGTCATCCCTGATTCTGTGGCAAGAAAATTTTGAGCATCTGTGGACTTACTCGGTTTAAATACATTTTACATCTGTCATATATGTATGTACATCTACATCACGTCCCCTCCCCCAGAGCCGCACGCTGCATGAGACAGAGGGGGGAATGAGAGCATGAGCAAAGCTGTTAAGGGGTGGGGGGAAGACCGTGCAAATGAATTTGGTCATTCTGCCTAAAATAATGATCCAATCGGAACCTTATTCAGTTATCTAATAGATATGGCTATTCTCTACTGAATTGCCTTTTTACCCCTTGTCTGTATATGTGTGGGCAGAAGAGAGCCTAGCAAAATTTTGAAATACACTTGTAACAGTGTGAGTGTACAGCCATCTGGATGCAAAATTTAGTGGCTTCAGATTAGTATCTGAGATCCAGGCTCCCAAGAAGACGGACGGACAGACTGACATGGCTATTGATGCTGATCAAGAATATACATATGTTCATACATACATATATACTTCATGGGGTCGGAAACGTTCCTTCTCTTCGTTACATTTATACAGTTTTCGACAAAAATACAATGTACCCTATTTACTTTTAGAGAGCCGGGATAAAAAGGGTCCACGTAAAATATGCAATTCTTATTATTATGCCCGGCTGTACGCCGGGCAGTACTCAGATCGAATATCAAAATTGCTGATGAATCCTAGAAAATCAGCAGAAGGTATTCGATGTTTTTGAGACGTTTATTTAAATTTTAAATTTGTTTTGTGACGATTAGGACTCGAAACTATCCAATTTTGAATATGAAGGGGGCTTTGGAGTGCCGTTTTTCCACTTCTCCCAGGGAGAAATAACATTCCTGCTGCTCCACAATCCAAAAAGGCAGCAGAAGTCCTTTTCAGAAATATAAAAATTCTCAAAGAATACTAATGTCTTTGAGTCGTAATTTTAAACTGCGTAATGTGCAAGAAATTGTTAATCATATTTTTATGATTTATAATACTCACATGTAAATAAAAACGACCCTCTTATTTCCGGGATCGGGCTTACCCAATGTTTTCGGAGGTACTACAAGAGCTGTCAATCCCAGAAATCCCCAATCAGGTTTCCATTACTTTTTATTGACTTTTCCCAAATGTTCACGAAGTATATAAAACAACAAAGCTGACTGAGAAATGTAGCCGTACGTAATGCTTTTTACATCGGACAGTTTGCCAGCTAACGTTTTTTTCGGATCTGATTTCTAGGCGTTACGTTCTTCTTCTGCGTGCTCTTTTCGATATATCAGCTGTCATAATGAGGCAAAAATTTGGCGCATGTGAGTAATGGACTGGTGCTGCTCCTCGATAGCGACTGTATATCGTTATTAATGTTACCAAGCAAGACGATACCAAGCAGCACAGGGCATGATTCAATTATAAAAGGTGATTCTCGCATCATTAGCGTTCGGTGCGTTTCTGCTTGTTGACGTGACGTAGAGTAGGTGGGTAGAGGGGGATTGTTTGGCTGCCCGCCTTTACAAGGGGGAAATCGCCACGTCGAAATATGTAACTTGTTACAGTTTTGCTCCAATACTTACCTGGCGTAGAGGCGAACTTTCACTAGCACTTAGTGACAGCATTGTTAGGGGTGCCGTTTTGTCGACGGGACCACCCTATACATATGCATCATGGCGCAGAGCAGCAATAAATAAAGGTGCTGTTTTTAGACGTTTAATGACGTCACATTCCGCATTTTACCAGCCTGAAGGTTTCGCCTGCCCTGCGCATTTGGCACCAAATTTGTAATTGCAGCCCTGGCCAGATGATGCCACCCTGGGTTTTGTTTTGCAAAGTGAAATTGTTGAAAGAAGTACAAACGATACGAAACGATTCAAAAATATATAAGTGAGTACATTAAATTAGTTATTTTGTAGATGTGCAGGTAGTACTTCCTATTTGTTGCTTTAATTTTGTTTTGTTTAAGGCGAAAAGTACAATTTTCATCTGAATTCTTGCTCTGCTTTTGCCCTAATTGGTTTCGGACCGAGTTATAGCAAAATTTTGGAGTTTTATCAGCACAACAACAACAACGGTATAGTATAGTAAACCACTCATCATTTTTGTTGAAACATATGTGACGCGCTCACCTTGAATTTGTTGTCATCTACCCAGAGAGAAGCATATATTGACCCTGCTCACTAAAATATATACATACATACATTGATCTGCATGTATATTATGTATTTGTGCGTGGACATTTTAATATAAAATTGCCAATATGCGTTAATATTGGCATGTTTTGTTTAATAGCGCGCGGCGATAATTGCTAGGCGGACAAATGACCACCGCTGCCTCCACATCGCAACATGCCTCTTCGACGATGATGGCCGGTACTGGGTCCTCCTCCTCCAATATAACGGCGCCCAGCAGCTCGGCGGTGCGCGCTTTGGCCATGGAGTACAAGTCATTGCAGGAGGAGCCGGTCGAAGGATTTCGCGTAAAGCTGATCAACGATGATAATCTATTCGAATGGGAGGTCGCCATATTCGGGCCTCCGGATACACTTTACCAGGGCGGATATTTTAAGGCCCACATGAAGTTTCCACACGACTATCCGTACTCGCCACCAACAATACGCTTTCTCACCAAAGTGTGGCATCCAAATGTCTACGAAAATGGCGATCTATGTATATCCATACTGCATCCCCCAGTAGATGATCCACAGAGCGGTGAGCTGCCTTGCGAGCGCTGGAATCCCACACAGAATGTAAGAACCATTCTCCTTTCGGTAATATCACTTCTCAACGAGCCCAACACATTCTCACCGGCCAATGTGGATGCATCGGTCATGTACCGCCGATGGCGGGACTCGCAGGTAAATGAAGGACGATTTCCAGGCTGAATCAATAATAATCAATTATTTACAGGGCAAGGACAATGAATATCCAAACATCATACGCAAACAAGCATTGGCAGCCAATGCTGAGGCCAAGCGAGAAGGCATCGTCGTGCCGATGACCCTTGAGGACTATTGCCTTAAGCCAACTCGCAAACCCACAGCAGAATCTGCCTTGGATGCGAACTTTTACGATGATGATTTTGATTTAGAGACCGAGGATGATTTACCCACAGATGATGATGATTTCGATGAGGACGAAGACGAGGAGGAGGGAGAGGATAATGACAGTGCATCGGCATCGATAAGCAAGAACAATGGACTGGCAGCCGCAGATGATGCAGAGTCTGCCGATGACAGCGGCAAGGGCGAGACCACATAATGCAGACATGCTCAGATAGACCGCATAGTTTCTTCTTCCTTCCACTCCTGCCCTAGGCGGCGAGCCACCGCCTCTTCATTTCTCCAACATCATTACCATGATTAACGCTAATTATAGAAGTTTACTAACTAACAAAAAAGAAGAAATCAAACAGAAAATTAAAATAGTGACTTACATTACATAGCTTAAATGATAAACTTTGATTCGCCTTGATTGTGGAGGGTACGGAAGGTCAGATTCATTTAGAAAATACATTCGGAAGGATATCTATTTGATCAATGACATACTAAACCTAAGATTTGTATAAGCTAACTATTTTAATGGGCCAGTTCAGTTTCCTTATATTGAAATCATGGACCTTTCCGATTTATATTTGTATTAACAAAAAATTTATTAATGTATTAACAAACCCACAAGCAGAAAATGTATATATACATACGTGTGCTAAGTATTAATTAATATTTATGTATGTGTATGTATATTGTGAAATACTTCTACATTTTCATGAGCAAACTGCAACGTATGTATGTATGTATGGCATGGTAACGCAACATCCTACACACAGAGCGTCAAGCTATAAAAGTATATACACATAGAAGGCAACATATATTGAACAATCAAAGGATTTCAAAATTTCATTAAAATTTCATAAAGTTCAATTTAGCATTTAAGCCATTTTTCAGTGGAAACATTGCAGTCAGTAAAATATTTAACAAGAGCAAAAATAAAACGAAAATCACTTTTTATAAACAAAACCAGAATTGCAACAAAGAAAATGAGCCAAATAAAATATCTAACGAGAAGGGACGTGTGAGACGCTTCTTACGAGTGCCGACTTTTAACCCACCCCGTCCCGCAGCTTATATATTTTTTTTTTTTGTGTGCGGCTGCTGCCTCTGCCGCGAGTCTGCAGTGTGTGGGTCTAGGGAGAGTGATGGTGTGAGTAGTGTTGTTGATGACAGATGAAAAAATGTAAAATTTGACAAAACGCCGCTAAGGTGCAGATAGTAGTGAGTGCCGGGTATAAAAGTTGTGACGCGTAAGAAACATCTCACACGTCCCTTCTCGTTACGCTTCGATTACAGGGTATAAAAGAAAACTAGCAAGTCTTTTAAAGCATCAAGAAGCAAGGTTGTTTATTTATTCGCTTTGTTGATTTGGCAATTTATATTTGTGTAACTAGTTTAGCCCGTTTTCTCCATGCCAGAAGCGCCGGCGTCAGATCCTTGTCGGTAATGGTAGGTATACGTATTAGCGAGCTATGAACGCCGATATCGGCTACAGACATTTGGGATCCACCGAAATATTGCTGTTTCAGACGCTTGTCCAGTAGCCTTACCATTGCTACTTGAGCTTTGTGGGTGCTGCAGCGCAACAGCTGATAGCAAATGTCGAGAACAAGATCAATCTCATTGCAGAGCGGGGAGCCCTCATAACGATATTCGGTGGGTCCCACGCGGCCCAAATACCGAATGACATTTACTTCGCCATAAATGGGCACATACATGGTTGGTGAGCTGATCATCTCCATGTGCTCACCTGTCGAAAAGGTTAGTGGACTATGAGTATCTATAATCATTTCGCTTACAGTTTTTCCAAATGAGAGTAACATTGATATTGGGCAGAGCATTGTTCACTGGTATCTTGTCCATCTCCGCCTCAAATTTGCGAGCTGCCGGTCCAATATCCGCCATTGTCGAATGTATGAAGGTCTTTACATTCACCGTGTACAGATCCCTCCAGGCATTCTTTAATGCCAACAGAGCGTAGGGTATGAAGTTGGGATGTCCATTGATTACAATGTCTTGAAGTGAGACCTATGCAAAGAATTTAAGTAAGGTGGCTTGGGCTTCATTCCGAATAATGAGCTTTCACTAACCTCTTTTCTTCCATCTTGAAAGGCAGTTGAATGCTGCACCGTCTTGCCGCAAATGCCCAGACCCGCACGAATTTTACCCAGTTGCGTCTTAAGCCCTTGCAGTTGCTGGATAATTTTGTCTTGGCGAATTACTACCGATACCGTTTCATCCTGTTGACGAGAGAGAGAGAATATAAAATTGTAAAATGGGATAACATGCTGCCATTTTGACGACAAGAAAACAACAAGCAACACAAAACGCATATTCTTGGTTTTTTTTGGGGTTAGTTGGTAATCATTTTTAATAGAATATTAGATTTAAGTGGATGAATTGTTGTTTTAACCTTTAGAAGATGTTGTATTTGTCGGCCTAAAAAGTCCAAATCCAGAGCACATGGGATGGATTTTCTTAAATTTATGCTGCTGCTGAACTCCGATGCGCTCTGGAAAAGCCCGAATGAAGCCTTTTTAGGAAAGGAAAGGATGGCGTTGATATTCTTTCTTTATCGATTTTAATATAAATCTTTTATAATGTTCTTGCCTAATTTTGATTGGCAGACTTACGCAGCTGACTGATGATGTGGAAGTGGTAGGGTCAGCCGATAGACTAACGTTCTTAAGGTTGTACATGCAGGTGGGCAGCTTAATGTCGAATTGTGGTAATAAGGTTTTCAATTCGTACATTTTACTGATATCAAAATCGAATATACAATTTATGAAATGTGCTTATTCTAAAGATGGAAGAAAATACAATCAGAAAATAAAATCATCGATAGTTATCGTAATAGATGGTTTTGAAGATATTTATTACGATATCTTTATTACTAAAAACAAAATATATATTGTATTGTATTTTTATTTCTTAGCTTTCTGAGAATTTTGCGGCACCTTGGGGAGGCGTTTTATTCTCTTATCAACAATATGTCTAAGACGCCTTTCCGGCTTAACCAGATCACTATCATCCATTGGCTCAATAACCTGGCCCTTACGCGTAGTTACTGAAGGACGGGTCAGCATTCGGAAGGCCGTCTCTGGAACAAAGTTCCTGCCAATGGGCGCACGAATGCTGGCCTCATAATCGGCCAAGGATCTGAAAGGAAATGGTACGCTAGACACCAGGTGCTGCCGTGCCTGCTTGGTACTTGTCTCATTAATGAAGAGATTATCCTTGTTGTCATCACGCCTCTTTTCTGGAGCAGCCAATCTGAGCAGCAGTCGTGTATTGCGTTTATTGCGCCTTTCCATGACCTCCTGAGATATTCCTGCACCAGCCCAGGAACCCCATCCAGGCATGGCCAGCTGGAGCTCAGTGTTTTTCAGTTCAGAGTCCTTAGTCTTTTCCATATTAAAGTCAGCTATGATATCATCGTCTTCGAAGGCCTGACTAATGGTCAACTGATGCAGTGTCGTAGCATCTTTTTCATCGTATTCAGCATCATCGTCATTCACCAATGCATCATTGAGTGCACCTGAACTACGCTCCTTCTGCGCCCACACTAAAGTTGTCACCTTAGAGATGTCAATAGTATCCACAGCTGAATCCACTGCGACTTCCGGATCACTCCCCATATTGGCAGCATCCACTTGTTGCTGGGACTCAATTTCATAGTATAAGGGCTCATCAACTTCAACGCGTTTTTTTGTCATCTTTACTGCCAAATGCTTGAGATTTTTTAAGCTGTCCTTCTTTTTTACCTTCTTGCTTTTGGCAGGAGCTTCTTTGAGTCGATCAGTTCGCAGCTTCAGGGTTTTTAGCTTTTTGGTCAGCTTTCCTCTTAGCTTCTCTTCGCTTCCTTCAAATATGTTGTCAATAATTTTGCTCTCGCCTGTTACATTAGTCTCATGATAAACTTTCTCCACTTTCCAACCGTTCTCAAAAGACACTTTCGACTTTTTTAATTTTATCTTTGATGGCTTCGGTTTTGGATCCAATTTCAATTTCTCTTCTACGATGTCAACGTTCTCTACATGTTGCACATCTTTCAAATCCTTATGATCCTCCTCCAATAATTTCGCTTTTTGATTGCGCTCTGTCCAATATTTGCGCCAATTGGAAACCTGACCTGCCATTTCTGTTGGAGCTTTTCCAGCCACTTTTCGTTTCGTCCACGGGTTAAATGGATCATATTCTTTATCCTCCTCCTGAACATCTTGCGTCATTTTGAACTCAGTTTCACTGTCCGATTCTTGTTTTTTCTCAGTCAACTGTCGGCCGACTGCCAGCTGTTCGCCGAGATCCTTGCGCACATCCCTATCGTATTTAGCTCGCATCTGTAAATTTTTGGCCCATGTGCCTGTGTTCTTGTGCCTCAAGCTGGCCCGCTCCTGTACGCGAATTTTTTCCAGGGCATTTAGCTTTTCCAGAGCTGCCTCCGGATTTGTCTTTTGCAGGAGTTCGATCTCCTTCATCTGTTCATGTATCTTTTGACGCTTCTGCAGCTTATGGAATTTTTTCGATTTAATTTTGTTTTGCATTCGCGACCTTGCTGATTTCTGGGATTCGCGCATTTTCAGATATGCCAATTCCTTGCGACGGGCAAAGAGCTCGTCGCGAGTGATCTTCATCTGTCGCAGCTCTCGCTCTTGTTGGGCCAAGGCTTTCTCATCGGCTGTATCGCCAATCTGTGCTTTGCGAAGCTCGTGGAGTTTAAGCTTGCTGGCTTCCAGCGCCTTAGCCAGGGCCGACTGAATGCTCGTCTTTAGTGATTTGGCATTGGCCGCTGTGTTGACGTAAATTGTTTCCGAAGGTATTGGAAAGATCTGAAAATATTAGATTCTTGTATTCTGGCCATTTCACCATGGATCGCATACCTGGGTCTCTGCCGAACGCTGTTGGGCCACCACAGCATCCCATCGACCGAGCTTCTTCGTCACTCCCTCATAACCAATGGTGCGCCTGATTCGATCCGCTGCTGGCTTTTCAAGCGGCTTCTCCAACACTTTCTTTGTGCTCTGGATATTCTTCAGCTTCCTGCCAGTTTTAATGTGCTTGGACGAGGCACGCAGTATCTGCACCAGGTCATTCAACCCAACGGCTCTGGGTTTGTGATGCGATTCTGCTGATCTTACGCCTTTCCCCAGCTGAAACTCATCCTGGAGCGTCTGGCGCTCGTCTCGCGTTGATTTCTGTATGTGCTGGACGTTTCCCAAGCTGCTAATGGCCATAAGCAGCTTCTTGTGAGCCTTTGGATTGTGGTTTTCCTCGCCGTCCTCCATGTTTTTTAGACACACTGTGCTCAAAATTTAAAAAAATTGCTACGTACCACGAGGTAATGGTAATAATCACATCTGACTTACTATCGAAGTTATCGAGTCGGAAAAACTATCGTTAAAGCCGTGC